ATAATGAGCTGTAGATAAAAGGCAGGAGGACAGCTGTTAGTAGGCACCAGGCTGTCATTGGCATGGCTCTGAATGTTAAATACTACTTCGGGATACTTTATGTTCTATGCACCAAGTATGGATCTTACAGTAAGGCCGTGTAGCCCATTTATTGAAAATTTGCCAAATATAAATCATTTTAATTCTTTCCTCTTCACCATTTTTCCACCTCTCTCTTCACTTGGACATTTCTCTGCCGTGGATTCTAAAACATCTACCTTCAATTAGTTTTAAAATTCTCTAACTTTGTTTCCCCACAGGATTAAACCTGTTAAAAGTAACTAGTGTTTTCCTATCTGATAAATAAGGGGATTACAGCAGTAACTGCTGTCAGCATTTTTCTCATTTAAACAAATAAAGCTGACAAATGATGAAGTTCTGTGCTGCTCTGTTATGTTTAGAACATGCAGAGCGATTATTCATTTGCTGCCAACATTAGTCTATCCACAACTAAACCGTCCCAGAGCTTGGAAAGCTTATTAGCATATCAGTACCGTAGTTATATGTTTGTATTCTGTGAGACTCTGCTCCATAGTGAAGGCTGATGGGCATAATTTGCACAGTAGTTTTAAAGCATTGGGCTTTTCCATTCTTAAGACTTATGCAAGTTATTGGGTACAATGCTGCTCTTCTTTATGAGTTGCCATCTTCTATTTTTCTGGAACTTGTGTGCCACTATAACATTTCCTACCATCAAGTTAGCTGATATCTCTGGAGATAAAAAGGAGGTAGCTGTGTCTGCTTGCAACACAGATGGATGAACTTCAGTGGGGATGGTAGGAGCAGTTCCCTTAAATAGAGAAGCTTTGCTGACATTTCCCACGTTGTGGATGCAGATTCACATATGTACACATTTACTGTCTGTATATGTAGTATATGTAAATGTGTATGCGTGTGTGTGTGTGTGTGCATGTGTGTTACAAAACAACTGAAGATTTGATAAAGAATGTTCTACTTTTTGAGAAAGATGCTTTATTAAAGTAGCATTATTTTGTTATTTTGGGGAAAATACTGTATGATTGTTTTAAGGATTCTCTTAGAAGTGATGGTCTGGTCAACCAAAAAGCTTATGTTTGAAGGAGGCCTCATCAAGACAGTGTGTGTGTGTGTGTGTGTGTGTGTGTGTGTGTGTGTGTGTGAATGTCATTTGTGACATGCCACCTTGATGGTGCTGATTGGGAAACTGCATTGTGTTTAGGGGCACCTGGTTTGTGTTGTCTTTTCTTTGTGGCCCCTTGAAGAGTATCTGAAGTGGAACAGTAGCTGAACTGTGCTGATGTTGAATTCGCAACCGAAAGCTTTTCCTCTCTATTTTGGGTGTAACTTGACACAGAGTGATAGAAATAGGGCAACATAAGTCTGCTCTCCATGGTGATAAGGACTTGTTTTCTCTTTGTTCTTCCCAAAGAACCCTGTAAATGTCTCAGTGTGTAACAGCAGTCTGTCAGGTTTCAAACCTTGTTGATCCTATGGGTACTGCTCTGGTAATTGTGTCTGTGTTTGCAAATGAATCCAGACTCTATGCACATCTTTGATACAGAGCCTTGTGCTCCAGGCCACTGTTCCCTGTCCTAATCCCAGGACTAAGTAACAACTAGAGATGAGCTAGGTAATCATTGTGTCAGCAGGACCACTGACATTACTTTAAATTAGCCAATTCTAGATTTTAACACTGTGCCTTCTTGGTGCCCTCTTATTGCAACCAATCTTGTCCAGCTCCCCTACCACTTTCTGCTTTATGTCTGCCCTGGCACTTGCTTCCCTGTATGGCTGAGTATAGCATGCTGTGACTGTCTTTTTCTAACTGTGAAAATTTCTTCCCTCGTGACAGTCATTTCCATGTCTGCATGTCTTAGGGGGAACTAGCAAACTGGTGTTTTGGATGTATGTATTCCCTGTTCTCTAACTTGAATATGTGACCACTCTGAGCCACTCAGAAGTAGATTAGATAAACATACAAGATGGAGAGGATGAGAATGTAAGAGTGGCCTGACGATATTTCTACCTTTCAAGATAGTCAATGCTGCTTTTAAGATGCTAGATATATTTTTTGTACAAAATAATGGGGTTTCATGACTTGCTTTGTAGGCACATGGTTCAATTTGACCATATTCCCTTTCTTTCATCCCCTCATCGTCTTCTTCCATTTACTCCTCTCATCTACTTTTCTATTTGTCTTTGCTGTGTTTGTCAGTTTGCTTAATGTGATGATATCCAGTTCCATCTATTGTCTTGTAAGTAAATAGCATAATTTTGTTCTTAATGGCTACATAATAATCTATTGTGAATGTACAGCACATGTAATTTTCCCATTCATCTGTTGGTGATTCCCTAGGCTAGTTTCATGACAGTTATTATGAATAGTGCCACAGTACACACAGAGGTGTAGCTGTCTCCATTGCAAGCTGAGTTTAATTCCTTTGGGCATATATCCCAGGATGGGATATATTTACATTCCCACCAGCAGTGTATACAGTGCAAAGGGCCTGCTTCACAAAGGATGGTGTGTTCTATCTCAATAAGTGTCCCTGAAGCAGGGTCATAGCAGACTACCACTGCTCCACCTCTCACCTGTGCCTTTGGTATGACCCTTTCTTCTCTACTTAATCTTCAAAACCGACCATCATTTGTCTTAAAATGAGTAACAAGATGTAAGCAAGCCCTCTTCTGTACCCCGTACTCCTATTCCCCAACTTCTCAACTCCTCATAACAGTATGTGTGACCCACCCCTTGCCCCTTTCTAAGGAAACAGTTTGTGTTTTTGTTTGTTTGCTTACTTGCCTGCTTGTTTTGTTTTTAAATATACTTTGTTCCCATGTGCTGTTCTCTTTTGCTTTTTGCTAGCCAACTCTTCCACTTCCATGCCCTGGCCCTACTATGTTTTCTTTTTCACTACTGGAATGGGACTTGAGCATGTTACATATTAGGTAAATGCTTGAGCTATATCCCTAGCCCTTTGTTTATGCACAAGGATGGTGGAAATGCAACAGTAACATCATCACCTCTCAAAGCTAACAAGCTAACGGTTATTTGCTTTGGAGAAATCCATGGATTGTAGAACTCAAGTCTTTAAAAAGAAAAAATGCAATGCATAGGAACTTTCCAAGATAAGAAATGTGGATTGTCAGTAGACATGGAGAGGAATTCTGTATGGTTCCTCCTCCAACCATCAGAAACTTACCTCAAATTATACATGATACTCTATGTGTCCATAACTGTGTCTCATCACTTATGAATGTTATTGATTGTGTAGTGGGGATACTTTTCCCCCATGTGACAAATTCACACCTATTTTTAATTATTGTTTAAACCTTACTACCAGCAGCGGTAGTCTACTTCTATCCATTATCCTTTGGATCACTTTGATGGATTTTTGGGGGGTGGGGGTTGCTTGTTTTATCTTGAGGTTGTTTTTTGCTACATTTTCTCCTTATTTAATATTGAAAAATAGATTATTCTCCCATACTGTACATCCTGATCACAGTTTCTTCTCCCTCCACTCTTCCCAGTTCCCTTACTTCCTTTCTCCCCCAAATCCACGTCTGGTCCCCTCTCTTCAGAACATAACAGGCCTTCAAAATATAACAGGCCTCTAAGACATAGCACCCAACAAAACAGGATATGATAGGACAAGGCTAATTCTCCTGCTGCCTGGATTCTGTGGAATTTAAAGGGAGAAAGCCGAAGTAGGCATTTAATTTTTCTTTGGCTCTTTGGCATGTTCATTTTATTTCTATAATCAAGAACAAGAAATTCCATACAGGGACAGGTATTTCATTGTGGAAAGCCATAGAATTGGTTTGTAAGGCAGAAGCAGGGATAACCATCAGCTCCTCCATCTATAAGCTGTGGATGTCAACAGATGGCTGTCTCTTTAAGTTATGAGCTTTTTGTCTACAACATGGGAATAGAATAGGGTAGGCCATCTTTGGGTGGTGTGCAAATACAGTGAGTGAAGATGTAGAGTTTCCTGTGGTGCTTGACTCTCATACCAAAGCTTTGACTAAGCACTTTTATAGGGAAGCTCAGTGTTAGCTAGTGTCTACCAACAGAAGAGCATTTGACCAAAACAAAAAAAAAAACTGCCCCCTTGTTTGTCATTAACTGATTTCATCCCTGGCACTCTACAAAGGGTGGCTGACCTTCCCAAAGAAGGAACCCAGTGATCCTTGGTCAGAAGCATGAAGATACATTTACTCTCAAGTTAGAAGTACCAAGAATATTTCTAAGGATTAGAAGGAAAATGCAAATTCATAAAAATCTCACTGAAAGGTTAAAAGTCATCAGCTTTGTCCCACCTCACAGGTGTATTTTTTTTGGCTGTTTCTACATCTGCCCCATATTCAATCATGCGAATTTTCTTTGGTCTTCTGCATGGCCCATTAGACCTATGTTAACTTGTCTGCTTCCTGTATGTCCTGTTCATTTGCTTTGAATACCATTGGCTCTGTTGTTCTCAACCTTTCATACCACCGTTTGGGCCATTTCTTGGAATCCTGGCCTATTTATACTGTCTCACACACATATTACCTTTTTTCTTTCAAGCCACACTATTACAGTGACCCTTTCTTGGCTACAAAACCATGAAACCACTCTAAGAACAACTTGAAACTGTGTCCCTGAGCTGAGTATGTGGAGACAATTAAGTTCTAGCCATTACATTTGGTATACATTTCCCATAGTACATTTTGTACAAAAACTGAGAGCACCAGGTTAATGTCATAGGAATGTTGTTCTATTGCATGGCACTGCGTTGGCTGATAATACTTTGTGTATGCATTTTACAGCCTACTCAGCTCAGGGAATTTAATTAGCAGTAATATATTACTGTCACAGTAATTAAAACCTTGCCTTGATTAAAAATAGAATTGTTTAATTAAAAAGAAAAGGTCTGGCTAACCTTAATTTCATGATTGAGGAATACAGTGGCCTCACTTACTCTTCTCTATCTCCGCATCAGGCTTGAAGGTTCGGGAAGTGTTCATCAATGTCACCAGGCAGCAGGTGGAGGACTTCCATGGGCCAGAGGACTATTGGTGTCAGTGTGTGGCATGGAGCCACCTGGGAACATCCAAGAGCAGGAAAGCTTCTGTACGAATAGCCTGTAAGTACATTTGGGTGTGACCTTGGATCTTAGGAGTATGGACAAGTGTTAAATACAGTTGAAGAGGCCATTGGAGATGTCCTGGGATGTCTTCAGAATGTAGCTGAGAGGGAATCAGGATGAACTTGACCATCTCCAATAAATTTAATGTTTAAAATATCATTTGAAATGTTTTATCATTTTTTCCAGAGGGCAATTGGCAAATCAATTTGTCTAAGAGATTTTTGCCAGAATTTCCAGAACTCAAAAGTCTTAACAAAGCCAGGATAACATGTCCCAGAGAATAAGAAGCCACACAAATGGACTTCACTTCTCCCCATCCATGGTGACACTCAGGGGATGTACATGGGGAGAGCCAAGCAATGACTACTTATCCTACTTTCCAGCCAATCTGTAAAAATAAAGCATTAAAGATATTAAGGGATTTTATAGCCTAATTTTAAATATCATCTCAGTGAATCTTAAAACATGGAAATGGGTTTTGACCTGTGTTTTGTTTTGTTTTTAAGCATAGTTGAAAATGATAAGGAAATCAGAAAACAAGTAAACCGCTTTTTCTAGGAGATGTCCAAGATTTTTCTGTCATATTTCAGCATCAGTGTCTTTATAATCTAAATATGATTTGCGAATATACAAACCTCTCCTCCTTTAAGTGTCCTTGTCCCACCCATTCCATTATCCCACCCATTCCCATTATCCCACCCATTCCCATTACCATACCTCTGTGAAGCCTTAGACACCTCATTTTTATGACTAGGACTATATAAAAAAAGAATCCTCTACATGGGAACTGGGAGGTGCAGGCTGGGCAGAGATGCAGATATGGTTATTGTTGTTTTATTCAAATACTGCCTTTAGAGTGTTGTAAAGACTATGGGACAAGAGGGATTTATCTGAGGACTGGAGGAATTCTTTATGGCACATGTTGATGGTTTAGGAATTAAGAATAAGAGTGAATTGCTCTTTGCAGGGACATTTATGTTTCCTCGGAAATGAAATCTTCCTCTTAAAATATGCATTTCACCTTCACAATACTGGTGATTTGGGAGGCCTCTCTTGGATGCCATGTGGGTCCTCATAGACCAAGAAGAGGTCACCTCATAAGCCATATTCAGTATGAGAGCCTTGGGAAATATTTTTCCTGTAGTTATTTAGTTAATTAAAATTATCCAACCAATATTTTATGACTTTTAAGTAGCAGGTTGACTGAGAGAGGGAATATATGTGCATTCATTTGTCCCATAATAAGTCTAGTTCTGTGTTCCCTAGGTGGCCTCAGTCAGGCCAACCAGAACATTCCACCCTAATCAAGGCAAGGTATGGATGCATATATGGTACTCAATCCAAATAGAGAGGAGGAAACAACACGAACTATTTCAACAATGGCTCACTCAATTTCTTTCTTCTGAGGTCCCCTTCCCATTGCCGTGTCTTTCTTCTCAGAGACAGATGCCATCTATTCTTTGAACTACTATACATATAATCACCCTCTGCACCTCTGGTGTCTTCTTCCTCCACTCTTCCTCATTTAATTCCTGATTGCCAGGTTCCTGTTAGAACAACATGTTTTTATTTATAAACATCATCAAAGAATGGTTCAAACCCACCTATTCTAATTTCCCATCACCTTGACTGTACATATTCCACTCCATCCTTCCAAATGCTTACTTGTTTCCTTTGTCAACCTTGCCTTTCTGACACAGAACCCCACTCATGCAGTCTACAATTTTGCAACAGGGGAGAAGAGCCTAGACTCCTGCTCCATTTGCATTTTCATTCTGCTTCATCTTTGTTTTGTAAAGGTAGACAGCACCGTTCATTTCCTGGGTCTCAATATCCCCATATGTGAATTTGTGTGTATTTCATGGAACTAATAAGTACTAATTATTTAAAGGACCTGGCCCAGTGATCACTTTTCAACTGTGACCTGCTGACTTGTGGCATCCTTGATCCTTTCCATAGCTATTACATGCATTAGTTGGTCTTTGGTGAATTGAATTGAAGGGTTATTTTAGGTTAGCCTTTACTATGCAGCTCTTCTAAACAGAATAGAAGTAGAGAAAGAGAATATTAATAATGGAAAAGGCACTTCACATTCTGTCACTTTCCTTTTTATCATTTGACCTTTGCAGATTCCTAAGCTCCTTTTCTGATAATAATCTTTGGATGCTCTCTGGAGATTTAAAAAAAGTATTTGTCCTTTTTATAGGATAAGCTCATTTGTATATGAAATATTTTTCAGGCAAAAAATTGTCAGAATATCATTATAGCCCATATTATACAACTCATTTAATGTGTTCTCTCAGAGTGTTTGCAACATATTTTTAATTTCTTCCTATGTAGCAAGTTAGAGAGTCTTTAATTTATTTAAAATTATTTATGCAAGCCAAGACATGATTTGTCATTAAATATTGAATTTGACTTGGGGACCAATGTGCATTAAAATGTAAATTGAAATTTAACTAGTGTGGTGGCATCAAACGTGTATGTGGGGGTGCCTTCAGGAACTTACTTGGATGTTTTATTTGCTTCCAGGAAAAACACTTTAAAAATAATTTTCCCTTTTTATTAGACTGAGAAAGAGGATTTCTGACTTTTACTTGTAAGTACTTCTTAGCAAATAGCATATTGCACATGAGGATAGTCTTCATTCTCAATAAATGAATAGGCAAATTAGATCTAATTGTTACCATTTTTCTTCTTTTTAAGATTGTTTTTTAAGTAATAGAGGCATCTTAATGTGCTAAATAATCATTGATAGATGAATGCATTTTATGAACGTGACAACCATCATCCAAAGGGACTTTACAATTCACTATAATTTTTATAATACTCAGTAAACAGTTCTATTTCAACATCTGAGTTCCTTATGCTTCCTGCATTGAGCCAATGAGCCATTAAGGATTTAACAAATTTTAAATTGCATTGGGCAAAAGCTCCAAGGCAACTGGGACATTGAGCTGAGGGATGTATTGACAGAAGCATCTTGATATTGTTTGCAATCTCTTTGCAAACATCAGGAGGCTCTCTGGATGATATCACTTAAAGACCATTTGGTTTTAAAAGAAAGAAATGATAAGAAAACTTTTCCCTTGATTTTTATGACTCTTAAGTTCCTCAAAATGGACCCTCTTGTGGGTAAATGTTACAAATGTAGAGAAGTGTCTTCTACGGTTCTTGTGGACTAGACTATGGAAAAGGCCTAGGATTGTTAAGGATTTTGCAATTCAGGGAACTGATATTATTGGCATGTCTTGCCTAGGAACACTATTCTCAAAATGTCAGTCATGCGCTATCATGTCAATTGTAAACCTACATGGTCCTCATATAATACTGGAATTTCAGTTCAAGTAATGCAGGAAACCCATAAGGTCTCTAATGGACAATTTAGAATGAGCTTCTTAGACTTCAGTTCTGCTAGTTAGTTTATTCTCTGTATTTTGAATAACAAAACCAAAAATACTTTTATGGAACACTGTTTGAGCAGTTTTTATTTACCCATTTATCATTTTATATGCCTTCTATGTTCAACTTGTTGCAAAAATGTTGACAGCTTGACTGAAGGGTAAAGTCACATGGCAGAGGGCAACAGAGCTCCTCTGTCCATCCATTGTACTCCCTTAAGTATTCTTTTTAAAAAGTAGTTTATTTAAATTCATTTTATGTGCATTAGTGTGAAGGTGTCAGATCTCCTGGAACTGAAATTACAGACAGTTGTGAGCTGCCATGTGAGTGCATGGGAATTGAACCCAGGGCCTTCGGATGAGCAGCCAGTGCTCTTAACCACTAAGACATCTCTACAGTCCTGATCTCTTAGGATTCTTATTGCTAAGTCCTGTGAGTTGTCTTCTGCAAACTAGAAACTTGAGAATTGTAATAGGAACCTTTATAGGCGTTTGAGTAGTTTCTTGAGGAAAGTGAATGTTGTTTTCCTCTCTCTTTCATTTATGAGTCAGTTGTGAACCTCTCATGGTCAAGTTATAGTGTGTATACACTTTGTTTTGGGAGCCAGTGTGCCTGCCATCCACCCGAACTGTTTCCCTATAATCACTCTGTTATAACAGGGAGAAGCTGGCTGGCCATCAACTACTAGGGGCTGGAAATAGCTGAGACCCAGTTACCAAAGTGAGTTTAGAAAGGTAAAAATAGATAAATAAAGCCAGCCTACATTGACCTCCATCAATCTGGCAGAAATCTGTCTCTAGGGAACAACTCCCACAGGCCCTCCCTCATCCGTCTGGTTCAGTTGGACTGGAGAAGACAGCACGCTGTGGCATCTGCTGCTGGACCATTGTCAAAACCAGGAATACTCAATTATTCGTAGTTGTTTATTTTCATGGGTGAACATTTGGCGGCTTAGCACTATCTTTTATTCCTTGTTTTCCTTTCTCTCCTTCATCTGCTGATAAGACGTTGTGCCTGTCACATTGAACCCTTGGTCAAGCAAACCTTTATTGACACTTTGGTACTTTTCCTAATTTGGGACTGGGAAATAAAGGAAATATTGCTATCTTATAGTTGAACCTGTTCTAGCAAGTTTGAGTAGGAAACCACTATTTTATTGATTAAAAAAAACATAATTTGATGCATGCTGAATAAAATGTAAATATGATGGGTTTTTTTGAGATGCTTCTAAAATTTCTATGCAATTGTGCCAGGAATGAATGAAGAAATTAGAAAAATCTCATTTACAGCCATGGGCGCTCTATACTTACATGCCGTAGTGAAAATAGAATTATTTCCCATTACTTTTGGGGGTGGTTTCCTTTTGAAAATCAAAGGAAAATAAGACATTAAGTTGTTTCAATTGTGCATCTCAACTTCCTGGCATAAATAAGTAATTCCATATTCTGAGGACTGCCAGTGCCCCTTGCTTCCTGCCTGCAAAATTAAATATAGGGATAAATAATTGCTTATACTCCTTTCATATGTAACTACATATGCGGATCATTTCCCAGGACATCCTTACAAGCTAAATGAACTCCACCTGAAAGAGTAGT